TCTTATGTCTTGTTTGTTCAAATATTATTGATGAGAGTTCAGTTTGCAGTTGGGGAAAAGATATTAGGGTTTTAAAGGCCTTGGTACTAGGGATGGGATCAGGCTGAGTTTGTTTTTGTCTGACCGGAAAAAGCTGGATATATTGGTTTATACGGGATATTACTTTCATTCCAAAGGGAAGCGCAATTAATTCGGGTAGGTCCTGGTTTTCTGGATGTTGAATTCTGGCTGTAAACACTAATAGGCCCAATAGAACTGGAAGATGTTTCAGGGTTGATGTGTGATCTGCTTTGATGAGGAACTCTGCTCCCATAAGGGAGCCAGTGTCTTGCCGCTTTTGATAGACCTATCAGTTCGTTCATGGTGCGGGTGAAAATCTGTTTCTTCCTCAAACATAATTTTAGAGGCAAGCAAGGGATGATGGGAAAATCAGGAAAGAAGGGATATCGACCTGATACTCGGTATTTGTTAACTAAACAGTAACTATAACTTGAAAGATGAAATGAAAGCATAACAACTGACAAAGTCCATTTTTGTATTTTGGCATTTCAATGCTATCCATAATCTGCACTGCATTTTGCATCATTTCCACAGTAGAAATAGCGTTTTGGTGAAACACTTATAGGAAAACGAAGGCAAAGCCCTAAACTAGTAGATTATGTATCACCCCTTCTATTCATATCCTCTTCCAATCAGCTGTTGTTTTGACAATCAACATTATGGCCCACTCAAATTGATCACGTGATAAAATCGTGTTTGCAAGACTTTTTCTAACTCATCCCAATTAGAGTTCAGTACATACTAACAGCAGATTATTTAAGGGGTCTAATACATAGAAAAGCTTTAACGTTTATGGATGTTCGTGTCTGATTTTCAATTTTTCATAGTTATGTTTCTTATGTAGTTTTGTATGGCTGTTTGGTTATTTATCGAGAATTAATATTGAAATTGGATTTAAAAAAAAACTGCAAGTGAAGTCTTTGATAGTTGGATTTTAAAAACTCTAAACTTTACGGATACATCAAATCTATGTTTCAGTCTTTCTAGTATATTGACATTGTAGTAGGGTATTTTAGGCAGGGGAGAGATTATCTATAATTGTAAGAATATATTGTTATAACATTACAAGGTTTCAAAATAAAAGCGCTATAAAATGATAAATTAATGTAAACTCTGTGCTAGTACTATAAATGCAAAACTGATAAACCGTATTCAATAATTTTCTTAGTTTAAAATAATATGAATACAAGTTAAACAATGTGCAAGTCATGTATACAAGTCATGTATACAAGTTAAACAATGTTGCCTTGCCCTTTTCTTGGAATTTCAGGTGCACTTGTCACAGCAGGGGTGCTTACGGCTGGATTAGTTAGTTTCCGGAGAGGAAATTCCAATTTAGGTCAGAAGCTAATGCGGGCCCGTGTAGTTGCACAGGGTGCCACAGTGGCATTAATGGTTGGGACTGCTTACTACTATGGCGACACATTTAAACCTGCTGCATAACAATTTATCAATGAACATTACTGCAAAGCGCGGTAACCTCCATTTTTTCACGCTCGGGAGCTTCTTTTGAGGTTATCAGTTTTTTTTCTTGCCAGTTGCTACTTGCTACATCATCATCATCTTGGTGTACTTCTCTTCTCTCAATAAACCAAGCAGATGCAGTCTATATCAAGAAGATGCATCAAGTTAGATTCTTGAGTTTGATGGGGTTCATCTTCGAAATATATATATACTGTTGCTATACATACATGAGCAAATATTTGTGGATTCCTGTTTGTATGATTTTCTGAACGGTAGGGCTAAATTCCTGTGGATTCCTGGATTCCCTTTGTATGCATGCAATTAACACCTATTTTTGTTTTGTCAACTTGTATATATAGTACGTAACAAGTTTGTTTATTTTACCTCCCATAACACACATGTCAAATACTTCCTGTAATTCAATTACTCGTAATCAATTTAAAAAGGAAAATGACTCTCCCTCCAACTAAATTTTCTTCTCTGCTTGTATAAAATCTGTCTTTCTTTTTTTAGTAATTGGCACTTGGCAGTTAATATAATTTCTCATGCACATTTTTTACAATGTCAAGTTAATGAGGTAGTATGTACTAAAATCTGACACAACATAGTTATCTTTGAAAAAGTCATTGCCAGAGACATCATTGGTGGTGGTTTTGTCTAAACCAATTTTCCTTCGCAACTCACCTTTTTCTATACACTTCAATACCAATATACCATTGTTTCCCAGAGGACATATGATAAGGACCTTGGAAGTCAGCCCAATGCAAATAATAGCATTGACTATTATGACCGAGTCTATTCTAGGAGGAGAAAGACTAATAAATAAGATTTGTCTAGCTCACTATGTGGGGAAGGGGGAATACTATAAATAGCAAGTATTGTAATAAAAATAGTAGGCTAGTTGTGGCTTTTGTTGGGCTGGGACTTGGAGAGAGGCAACTCTAAAACTGCCAGACACTTTTTCTCTTTCGTGTTGGTTATACGAATTTCCCCCATTTACTGTTCATCCCCGTTTCCTCCATTACTGTTGCTCGATTACTCTATCGCAGGTCTGATCCTTATCATTGGTATCAGAGCACGATCGTGGTACCTGTGCATGGTTGCTACGAGACGAGCGATGGAAGGGAGAATGGAAAATGTGGAGCGGGAGTTGGCAAGGCAGTCCGCGGCGATGGAGCGTGAACTCGCAAGGCATCGCGAAGAGGCCAGACTGATCAACGAAGAAGCCGGAGTAAGGAGTGAGGAAGCGAGACGAGACATGGAGATGCTTCGTGAGATGATGATGAAGAAGTTCGCACATCACTCTCGCGAACGATCATCGACTTCCAAAAATAGCGCGAGGCAAGAGAGTAGCGACTCCGGATCATCAACAGGTAACTATCGATCTACTTCCAAAAGGCATAATGATAATCATCGTAGTTGGATTGAAAAATCGGGAAGGAAAGTAGATTTGCCACTTTTTAATGGAACTGATGCGTATGGATGGACAATTAAGGTGGAGCGATTTTTCAAGTTGAACCAGATTGTAGATGAGGACAAAATTGAGTTGGTGACTCTCGCCATGGAAGGAAGAGCGTTGAACTGGTACCAATGGTGGGAGGAACATGCGAATGTGAGGAGTTGGGAACTGTTTAAGGAGGCCTTGTTGCAGAGATTTGAACCGGGACTGGATCAGGATCCATATGGTCCTTTGTTGAATTTAAAACAAACTGGGAGCGTAATGGACTACAGAGATGAGTTTGAACTGATGGCAGCCCCGTTGAAACATACTGATGTCCAAATACTCAAGGGAATTTTTATGAAAGGCTTGAAAGCAGAAGTCAGGGCTGAACTGAAGAAGAATCCTGTAAGAACCTTGACCGAGGTCATGAATAAGGCCCTGAGAATAGAGGAAAGTAACAGTATTGTCAGTGCCAGCAAGTTCAGGGAAGAAGATAAGAGAGGATCCAAAGAAAAAGGGGGTGTTTTTTCGCAGCATCAAAGGTGGCTGAATGAGCACCGGTGGAAAAGTAACTTGGCTAGCCAGTCTGGATCAGATAAAAACATCACAGAGAAGAGTACTGAGGCTGTCAATAAAGGGGGAGGAATGAAGGGAACTCACAGACTGTCACAGGCTGAACTGCAGGAATTGAGCAGGAAAGGCCTTTGTTTCAAGTGTGGAGAGCATTGGGGCAAGGGGCACATCTGTAAGATGAAGCATTTCCAAATCATTATGCTTGAGGACTCGGAAGAAGAGGAAGAGGAACAGGGCAGCATTCCAGTACCAAAAAATGAAGGAGAAGACCCGGATCCACCATGTATGCAACTGTCCTTGCTGAGTAAAGAGGGGATTACTACTTCCAGGACTTTTAAGGTGAAGGGAGTAATTAAGGGCCACAAGGGCAGCAAGGAGATAGTAGTACTCATTGACTGTGGGGCCACTCATAATTTTATATCTCCTAGGGTGGTACAGGAGGTGGGAATTCCTGTATCACAAATTACTGAATTCAAAGTGGAAATAGGGAATGGGGATTTGATTAGAAATAATGGAAGATGTGAAGCCATAAATGTGAAGTTGCAACAGGTAATGATCACACAGGATTTTTACATTCTGGAGCTAGGAGGAACTGAAATGGTCTTGGGAATGGAATGGTTAGCTGGACTGGGAAATGTGGAGTTCAACTTCCATAAATTATCACTTAAGTGGATTCAGAATGGTCAAACCAGAGAATTGAGGGGGGATCCAAGGTTGAGCAGGACTGAAATCTCATGGAAAAGCCTAGCTAAGGTTACTAGCAACAAGGTGAAGGGTATTCTCTATACCTAACTGAGCTAAAGGACATAGAGGATGACACAGATAGTAGAATGTGGATCCAGAAAATTAAAGAGGAGATTCCACAGGTTTTCAAGCCTTTGAAGGGATTACCTCCAAAAAGGGACTGTGATCATACTATTCTCATTAAGGAGGGGTCAACTATTCCCAGTATTAGACCCTATAGATACCTACAGTATCTTAAGAATGAAATGGAGAAGGTAATTCAAGAACTGTTAGATGGGGGGATCATCAGGCCCAGTACCAGCCCATATAGTAGCCCAGTGTTGATGGTAAAGAAGAAGGACGGGGGCTGGAGATTTTGTGGGGACTATAGGGCCCTGAATCAGATTACAGTACCCAACAAATTTCCTATCCCCATCATTGAGGAACTGCTGGATGAGCTGAACAGGGCACAAATATTCTCTAAACTGGATTTGAAATCGGGTTACCACCATATCAGAATGAAGGAAGAGGATATCCACAAAACTGCCATAAGAACACATGAGGGTCATTATGAATACCTGGTAATGCCCTTTGGACTCACTAATGCACCCTCTACCTTTCAGTGTCTTATGCATCAAGTCCTGAAGCTCTACCTCAGAAAATTTGTATTAGTTTTCTTTGACGATATATTGATATATAGCAAAACAGAAGAAGAACATTGGGGACATGTCAAGAGGGTGTTACAGTTGCTGGAATCAAATCAGTTGGTATTGAATGAGAAGAAGTGTTCTTTTGGGCAGAAACAGTTAGCTTACTTGGGGCATATAATCTCTAAAGAGGGAGTGGCAGCAGATCCTAGTAAAATAGAAGATATGACACACTGGCCATATCCAAAGGATGTCAAGGGATTGAGAGGATTTCTGGGGCTCACAGGGTACTACAGAAAATTTGTCAAGGGCTATAGTAAAATAGCCTCACCTTTGAATGACCTTCTAAAAAAGGATGGATTCCATTGGAACTTGGAGGCTCATAAAGCTTTTGATGAACCCAAACTTAGAATGACTCAACTGCCTGTGCTGAAGATTCCTGACTTCAATCAAACTTTTGTGATTGAGTCAGATGCGTCTGGGAGAGGAGTGGGAGCAGTCCTTATGCAGGAAGGGAGACCAGTGGCATACATGAGTAAGACTCTATCAAACAGGAATCAGAACAAATCAGTATATGAGAGGGAGCTGATGGCTATTGTATTAGCTATACAAAAATGGAGGCCTTATTCACTAGGAAGGAGGTTTGAAGTACACACAGATCAAAAGAGTTTGAGATTCCAGACCGAACAGAGAATTTTGGGGGAAGATCAGCAGAAATGGGTGGCCAAACTGCTGGGGTTCAATTTTGTGATTAAGTACAAACCAGGGGTGGAGAACAAGGCTGCAGATGCCCTCTCTAGGAAGGGTCATTTCTACTCTTTATCGGTGGTGACCTGCCAAGAGTGGGAAGGGCTGGAGGATGAATTGTTGGAAGATGAAAAATATAAAACTATGTTGCAGAAGTTAATGATTGACCCTGATTCCATCCCTCATTTCAAGGTCAGTCAAGGGCTTCTATACTTCAAGGGAAGACTGGTGATTCCAAAGAAATCTGCAAGGATTGATAGCATTCTCAAGGAATTCCATGAGTCTGCTATTGGGGGGCATGCTGGGAACTTTAAAACAATGAAGAGGATCTCATCTCTATTTTATTGGGAGGGAATGAGAACAGATATAAAACAGTATGTTCAACAATGTGAAGTGTGTCAAAGAAACAAATATCAGACCTTGAGCCCAGCAGGATTACTTCACCCTCTACCTATACCTGATCACATATGGACATATCTCAGCATGGACTTCATAGGGGGGCTGCCTAGGGCACAAGGGAAGGATACTATCATGGTGATGGTGGACAGATTAACTAAGTTTGCACACTTCATAGCATTCATTGACTCACCCTTACAATGCTAAAAGTGTGGCAGATCTGTTCATTCAGGAGGTGGTCAGGTTGCATGGATTTCCAAAGACTATTGTTTCTGACAGGGACAATGTCTTTCTCAGTGTGTTCTGGACTGAGTTGTTTAAATTAGCTGGCACCAAGTTGAAATACAGCACATCCTATCATCCCCAAACGGATGGTCAAACTGAGGTGGTGAATCGGTGTATAGAAACATACCTAAGATGCATGACTGGGAATAAACCTAGGCAATGGCCTCAGTGGTTACCATGGGCTGAATTTTGGTACAACACAAATTATCATGTGTCTGCCAAGATTAGCCCTTATAAAGCATTGTATGGACAAGATCCACCTGTACTGATAAAAGGAGATGTGACCTTGACAGCTGTGGAGGAGGTGAATAGAATGACAGCTGCCAGAAATGAAATGATAAGTGAATTGAAGGATAATCTGGCCAAAGCCCAAAATCAAATGAAGCAAACTGCTGATAAGAAAAGGAGGGATGTTCAGTTGGGTGTGGGAGAATGGGTGTATCTAAAGATTCAGCCCTACAAGCTCAAGACTTTGTCTAAGAGGATGAATCAGAAATTGAGCCCTAGATTCTATGGCCCTTTTGAAGTCATTGAGCAAATCAATCCGGTAGCTTACAAACTGAAATTACCGAAAGATTGTAAGGTGCATCTTGTCTTTCATTTGTCCCTCTTAAAGAAAGCAGTACCCTCGGCGACATTCATACAACCTTTGCCCAAGTGTTTGACAGAGGAATGGGAGCTGCAAGTCAAACCAGAGATGGTGAAAGAGAGCAGAATCAATGTTGCAGGACGAACTGAAGTGTTGGTGCAGTGGGAGAATCTGCCAGATTTTGAGGATTCCTGGGAAGATCTGCAGCAGCTACTGAAGCAATTTCCTGACCTCCACCTTGAGGGCAAGGTGGTTGTTTCAGGGGGGAGTGATGATAAGGACCTTGGAAGTCAGCCCAATGCAAATAATAGCATTGACTATTATGACCGAGTCTATTCTAGGAGGAGAAAGACTAATAAATAAGATTTATCTAACTCACTATGTGGGGAAGGGGGAATACTATAAATAGCAAGTATTGTAATAAAAATAGTAGGCTAGTTGTGGCTTTTGTTGGGCTGGGACTTGGAGAGAGGCAACTCTAAAACTGCCAGACACTTTTTCTCTTTTGTGTTGGTTATACGAATTTCCCCCATTTACTGTTCATCCCCGTTTCCTCCATTACTGTTGCTCGATTACTCTATCGCAGGTCTGATCCTTATCAACATATCATATCAGGCCGGCCTGACGGGAACCGCCATCAGGCCGAGGCCATTTGGGGCCCTTCCCAGTGAAATTTTTTGATGAATTTTTTTTACTATGTCGCTCATCAAGTCTAGTTTATTCATACCAAATTTCAGCTAAAAATTCGATCGGGAAGGCATTCAAATCATTTTTTGAAGTTGATTGCGTTTTTATATGTATATTTTGGCGCAGTCAACTTCAAAAAATGATTTGAATGCCTTCACGATCGAATTTTGAGTGAAATTTGGTATGGACAAACTAGACTTGATGAGGAACATGCTCTAAAAAATTCATCAGACAATTCCACCGGCAACCGCCCCAAATGGCGGAGTTCGGATGGCGGCTCCCAACCCTCCGGCTGGACCTGATCAGTTCACTCTCTCTCTCTATATATAAATAACGCAGTTTTCGTAGGGAATTTATTTGATTGCCTTCCCGGTTGAATTTTTAGCTGAAATTTGGTATGGATAAACTAGATTTGATGATGAACATGCTCAAAAAAATTCATCAAAAAATTCTACCGGGAAGTGCCCCAAAAGCCCTTGGCCGGACGGTGAGTCCTGTCAGGCGGCCTGACAGGATCGCTACTCTTGTTTCCCATATACTGATGACCATAATAGTCTGCTTTCACTCCTGGACTCCTGGAGATGGACATGTGCCTGTTAAGAGTCGGGTTTCCACAACTACAAGTGCCTGTTATAACATAAAGTTAAATTCAATAAAAGTCACTAACTACAAAGCATGGTGCCACAACGTAACCAAGGTTTGTTCACTCTAAAAAATGTTCCACTATAAAATGAGCAAATGCGCCAAAAAAACATATAAACATCATCAAGAAAAGGCTGCACATACAAATTTTAGGTGGAGATTGTATGTTCCCATAAAAAGTGTAATTGCATAGCTTACAAGTAAATTTTACATCACTAATTTATGGAGTATGATGACACATATCTCAAGGGATCGCTAAGCGATCTAAACTGGAACTCAAAAGGATTCACTCATTGGGCCGATGCCCTAGGTCAAGACCAACACTTTAATATAGGCCCGATAACTCATCGATGAACATGTTCTATAATGAGTCGAGCTACATGAGTAAGTTCAAGCATGGACATCATTTCCCTAGGATCCTGCATTGATGCTACGAGATGAGGCCTAACAAATCCGGTCCACCTTGGCTCAGTTACAATTTACATCATACCCGCTATTGCTGTCATTGTGGCCCAATTTCCAAGGGCTGACTTATGACCCAGTTCCTAAGGACTGACATCATTGTCGACATCATCCTGGCATTTCCTAGGACTTTCAAGGGACATATGTCACTTACTCATTGTCTAGGATTTTGGACTTAGGATGTTTTTACTTGGAATGTAATTTGCCCAAATCAGACCAGTCCATATCAAATTAGATCAGACCAGACTTGGATAGTTATAAAAATACAAAGAAATCAGACCTTATCAGACCAGACCAGACCAGACCAGTTCAGACCAGACCAGATCAGATCAGACCAGCAAATTACAGTCCAAGTAAAAACATCCTTATAGCTCAAACATTGTATTTTGCCTATAAATCTGGCCTCTTTTCGAAGGGGAAAACATAAAAAATTAATACTTGCATAGTTGCATTGTTATTCTCAAATTTAATACACGATTTTCTTACTCTATAATTGCTCTAACTTCTCTATTTAGAATTATCTAACCCATCATTAATAATGAGCACACATATAAATAAGAACACAAAACGGACAATATTTAATTATCAAATAATATCTCTTCTCAGTACACAATATAGGTCCTCTAATGTACTTGTATAATTCTCTACATCCTACGTAAATAATAAAAAACATAAAAACATTCATTAAGTCGATATTTCCATAGTACGAGTATAATACGGTATTTTCCCTAAGTAGGAGTGCCTTTTTACTTCTAAATATTTTAGACAAATTGACCTAAATAGGACTAAACAAGTTTTGAATGTTATGTTTTTCTTTCCGAAATAGGAGTCGTTACTGACATGAACGAAAAATACTGTCATTAATGACAATAATGACTCTAGGATGACAGTAAATATTGTAATGTTATTCATATTTCGAGAAAAAATATAACGATGTTATTTTAGAATTCTAAAATTTGTTTACACCGGGAACATTCTCAACGTTTCACTCAAAGAAAATTGCTATTGGTACCCCAAAAATTACCCCATCTTTACCCCATATAAATACCTCCCCCACTTTTCTCCTCCCCTTCCTCCTCCCTCCCCCAATTTTCTTCCCCCCTCCCCCTCTCCCCTGGTTCTTCGTTCCTTTCACACAGCCCATCCCTTCCCTTTTCTCTTTTACTTTTCTCCATTTCAAGATCTCTTCATTTCTTAAATGTTTCTCATTTTTACCATCTTTTCCTCCTTCAACCTTCTTCTCCTACTTCTCTCGTCTTCCGCCTTTTTTTCCGTTTCAAATGGCGGAGCTACAGTAATCAGACAAATGGGGAGAGCTAGGTGAACAAGAAGGAACAACGAAAGGTGAAGACCAAGAAGTTTAGAGCAGATCTTATTTTCTTGATTTTTTGTTCTTGATTTTGTTTTCTTGTTTTTTTGGGTGTGTTTTCAAAATAAAAAGGGATGTTTGTCTGACAGACAACTTGTAAGTGTAGTGTCTGTATTTGTTAGTAAGACTCGTGAAGTTGTCTGTCATTTGAAAACTAAATGTCTGTAATTGATATGTGATTGTCTGTCATTTGCTTGTAAGTTGTCTGTATTTTTTGAGTTGTCTGTCATGTTGTTGTGAAGAGTCTGTAAGAGTCGTGAAGTTGTCTGTCTGTCTGTAATTGATGGTTAATTGTTTGTCAGTTGTTTTGAGTTGTCTGTATTTGTTTTTGAGTTGTCTGTATTGGTTTTGATTTGTGTGTATTTGATTGTGAACTGTATCTAATTACTTTATTTAATTGAGATGTAATTAGTCTAACGAGACAGACATTAAATATACACATACAAACATTATTTTATTGTGAATTACCATATTGGCATATGTTTCATAAAAAGACAGACAATACGTATTACTAGACAGACAATAGAGATAATCAGACAGACATTAATTTTCACCACAAATTTCATACAACTCAAAATGAAATGACAAACAACTAAATATCAATTACAGACAACTTCACGACTCTTACAGACAAATACAAATACAAACTACTAATAAACAAATGACAAACAATTAAATATCAATTACAGACATTATTTTTCAAATGACAGACAACTTCAAGACTCTTACAGACACTGCACTTACAAGTTGTCTGTCAGACAGACAACATTTTTTATTTCGAAAATACATCAAAAATCAAGAAAACAAAATCCAGAAAAGAAGATCTGCTACTCAAATTATTCAAAACTTCTTGATTTGCCTTCATTGTTGTCTTTCCTTGAGGTTGCATCCGAAATGGCAACCGGAGTAGGCCGGCCGTCGGCAACCGGCGTAGGGCTGCCGTCGGCAACGTCACCGGTGGAAGAGGAGATAAGCAGGAGAAGATCGAAGGTTGGATGGGGGAAAGATGGTAAAAATTGGAAGTCTTAAAGAAGGAGAAAGATATTGAAATGGAGAAGGTTTTCAAAAAAAATTGAAATGGAGAAGAAAGGGGAAGAGAGGGGGGTGCGCGAAAAAGAGGAGGGGAGGGAGGAAGAGAGGTGGGGTGCAGGGGAGAGGGAGGGAGGGGAGAGAAAAAGTGGGGGAGGGTGGAAAGAGAGAAGGAAAGTGGAGGAGGGTTTTTATATGGGGTAAAAAATGGGGTAGATTTGAGGTACCTATAGCAAAATTGTGTACACAAAAAATGGGTCAAGAATATGTACTTGTGTCCCTGTGAAAGTTTGGATAAGGTTCGATTAGTTATCCGTCCAGAAATCTGAATATGATGTATTTGAGAGTGACACAATAAGGAAACTCAAAATGTACTAAAAAGATACTTGTGAGGCACTAGTACTTGTCACTTGTGAGATAATGATGCGATTTGCTTAAAATAGAGGAATATTGAGCAATAGTAAGGCTGAACAAAAACAAACAAGCAAATCAAAACCCCCGACTGAAAATATACCGAAATTCAATCAACTAAAATCCAGATCAATAAAATCTTTAACAATATGGTTCAATGGTTCATAGGTATCGTGCATATTATACTTTAAAACGAACTAAACTGATTAAAAATTTAAAACACACCGAAACATATCCATTTGTCATGAACCAACCAGAAATATTCAAATGAACAAACTAAAATCAAAGAAAAATGATTTAAGTTATTCCGTTTGATTTTCAGTATTACATTTTGAAAATTTCAAACTTGAAAAATCGAATCGATAAAGACATATGATATTACTAGCATAGTTTTGGAAATCCCAGTGCCAACTCCGGAAGACAATGTGTTGTGCAATAGTATCGTACAAAATTAGTGGAAGAAAAGTACAGTACACATGCATTTAACATATTACAAACAAAAGTGCTTCAAATGTACATCATTCTTTATGTCAAATTTAACACAATATTCACATTGAACCATATCTTTTGTACCAACAAACATATTCACATGCATGGACGTTGCCATAAATTAAGCATTGGGTTAATTGGGTAGGGTTACTCACCCCTGTTTTCGCCTTATCAAGTCACTTGTTTAACAAATATGTAACCATAAATATACTCCGTATTCACTTGTTTAACAAACATGTAACCACGCGCTGAATTATGTATTAATCAATACTTCAACAGAAGTAAGGTTGAAGTTACTTTTCTGGTTGATATTGGAACATATTGTTTTGTTGATGACAAACGACTAATGTACTTTTGATCTATAAGTGATTGCAGGA